CTTTAGAGAAACATTCTCACATGTGCAGCACACATATACTAGTTTTGGATGCAGGTTCCCAGGTCTCGTTCCCAGAGAGTTTGCATCCAAGGAGACCTAGGAGTTCTGCAGGAGGTGGTCTAAAAAAGGTTTTTCCACAGATAGGGCATCAGGACCCTCTGTCCCCAGCTCTGGTCTTCCTGCCAATGGTTTGGAGCCAGAGTGGCTTATAGATTCCCGAGGAGAGAGCATCTTCGTGCCAATATCACTGTTCTCTTAAGCCTGTGATCCTTTTTCTGACCTTGCCTTTATTCCTCACCCTGATGGCACAAAGGCCTGTTAGACCTCCTGAAGGATGTTGTCCCTTTCATCACAACACTTGCGATTTTGCATTTATTTGACTTGTCACATCTTCCTACTGGGTTGTTTAGCTCAGGAGAGCAGCACTGTGCCTGGGTTTTGCTTCTGCAGTGTCTAGGTGCCCATCTCTGGCACAGTGCCCGACACCTCTTTGGCACTCCGTGCATTGCTTTGAATGCCTAGTTTCTAGCAGAAGTACTGTTAACTGTATGTACTTAGGTATGAAAATCACCTACTTTTATTAATTGAGCCAGCATTTGACATCTTAGAACTAGAACAATTACTGTTTTTTATAGGAAAACATACTCTTAATTAGAAACTGTCAATTGCTTCACAAAAGGAAGTTTCTGAAACCAAACCTAGTTGTAAATTGAGGATTATATGTTGTCTTAGTTACTGGGACAAAATACCTGACAGCCACAACTGGGAGGAGAGGCTTATTTTTGGCTCATGGTTTCAGTCTGTGATTAGGGGATAGTTCCAAGGCACAACAGAATGGCAGAAGATCACGGTGGAGGAGGAGGTGCTCAACCCCATGGCAGTCAGCAAACAGAGAGAGAAGGAAGGTGCTCAGGATAAGAATGCACGTCCCAGGTCATACCACTGACCTACCGCCCACCATGCCCTGCCTCCTCATGGCAAATGTAGCTGCTCTGTACATAGTGATGAATGCACTGATGAGTGCAGTGCCCCCCATGATCCACTCACCTCCTAATCTGTGAGACTTTTGGGAGATGGTTTAGATTTATGCTGCAACATATGTATACTATGTCAGAAAAGAGTTTAAATTAAAAATTAAGTCTGAGGACTGGGGGTATAGGTCAGCAAAACAGTGCCTGCCTGGCAAAAGCAAGGCTGAGAGTTCAATTCCTGGTACCAAAAATAAGAAAGTTTTAAAGAGTAAATTTGAGGCTGGGCATGGTAGTACACACCTATAATCCCAGCATTAGGGAGGCTGAGGCAAGAGGATCACTGTGAGTTCAGGGCCAGCCTGGGCTACAACATGAGTTTAAGGCCAGCCTGAACTGCATAGTAAAACCCTGTCTCAAAAATACAAAAGAAAAGAAGTCTGGGGAAACAGAAGCAACTTGGATTATAAGCAGAATATCACATTACCCCAAACAAAAGTATCAAAAATTCATGGACCCTTGAGTTCCTTATCCATTACAGTGGGCTACTCTAATGCTTTTCATTGTGGTCTAGATTGCTAATTATTTGGCAAATAACAATAGTTTGGAATAGCAGTCTTCCTATAAATCTAAACTGGAGTTTAGTGGTTTATGCTTCTGTTTCACTAAGAAAAAAAGAAACAATTAGAAAAGTCCTGTAAACTGCTGTTTGACTTACCTCCCACCTGAACCTGTACCAAACTCGCCAGCACGATCTCCTGGAAAATGGGCCTCACGTTGCACTAGACCGCACTGCCCCTTACCAGTGAGGACCTCTGATTAGGCAGGTTTCCCTTCCAGTTCCTCTGTCATCTTCTTACCTGTATCCCAACTGGATCTTTTCTGTCAAACTACAAATCTGCTAATATTACTTTTTAAAATTTTTATTATTAGTACATGTTTGCAATATAGAAGATTACATTCATCATGAGGAGTTGCACACACATAACACATTCAATTTTTTATGTCCTTTTCCCCTCCCTCCATCTTTTGAATAAAAGCTGTAGGTTTGACCCCTTTCCCTTCCAGCTATGTCTGTGTATCTCTTCTCATTTCAGAACTTCTTGAAACAATTATCGGTAGTAAGTCTTCAATTTCTCTTTTCTTCTTTTGGTACATACTCCAGTCAGACTTCTGCTCTTAATTACTATGCTAGAATTATCTCTGCCAAAGAAACTTGACTTGCACAGCACTAGCTGGTGCTGAGTGCTTGTCTTACTCGATCTACCAGTGCATTCGGCATAGACAATCACGCCCCTGTTCTTGAAAAAATTTTGCCCTTACTTTCCAAATATTGTGCTCACCTAGATTCCTTTCTGTTCTTTCTGGGCCTCTTTTGGGGGAAGAGGAACCACAACATGTTACATGCAGGGGAGTAAAGATCAGAACATCAGTGACCTCTCATTGGAAACAGTAGAAGCTAAAAGAAAAGGGAATAGTGCCTCAGAAATGCTGAGAGAACCTTGTTTGGTTTTGATTTTGGTTTTGGAGATAGGGTCTCACTCTGTAGTTCAGGCTGTCCTTGAACTGACCGTGTAGCCCAGGCCGGCAGTCCTCCTGCCTCAGTCTCCCAAGTGCCAAGATTATAGGTATGTGCCACTGTGCCCAGTCTTTTTTCTAAAATATACAAATTTCTCACCTTTATCCACTAAAAAGGACTAGAAGCAGTGATGGGCCAGGAGCATTGAGCACCCAGTACCCTGATTATGGTCTCTAAATAATTTTTTTTTTTTGTCTTTTTCCTTTTTATCGGTACCGGGGATTGAACTCAGGACTGCCTGCTTCCAAGGCAGGCGCTTATGCTACTGAGCTAAACCTCCAGCCCCTCTAAATACTTTTTTCCAGTAAAGAAAACCGTAGGTCCTTAGAAGAATGGTTGGTTTCAAGTCTGCCACAGAATATACACAAGATGAAATGCCAAAAAGCAAGGAAACTAATAAACTTTAATGAATATGTCAAAAACACAGAAGCTTCTTACAAGGGCTCCCAATGGCCAAAGGTAGAGTATTCTGAGTGTGGAGATGATGACTGAGAGCCAGCCACTGTGGCACATGCACTCAGGAGGCTGAGGCAGACGGGTCACAAGTTCAGGGTTAGCACGGACTACACAGCAAGATCCTGCTCCAAAACAAGATCGAGCTGGCCGCAGTAGTGTATTTCTATACTCCTGACCACTCCAGGAGGCTAAGGCAGGAGGGTACCTTGAGCCCACAAGCTGAAGGCTGAACTGGGTAACACAGTGAGACTCCCTCTCAAGAAGACTGAAATGGACTGAGGCACCTCAGATGCATAAAAATCAGAATTCTTAGTGGTAATAAAAAAGAAATTTCTTTGTAATCATTGAAGGTTGCTGATTCATTCTGCATTTTGTTAAATAATGGGTGATGCCAGGTTTTGTTTTACTTTTCTCAAATGAGCAGTATTTTAAGAAAAACAGAGGAAATGGACACTTGCAGAAAGGAAGATAAAATTGGAAAAATCAACATGTTCCACCCCTAATAAAGGATTTAAACAAGACTCACCAAAAATTGCAAACAGTGTTAAGTAGAAAGTGACAGGAATTTCCTAATAGAGAAATAGGACCAATAAACTCCTGAACCCACTAATTGGTATCTATAATCCATTCAATTATGTGCCTCCTTTTTTATTTATAAGTGCAACATAATTACGTACAACGGATTCTTACAGTTCTCAAAAACAAAACTTTCGTCAAGCAGCCAGTCATGTCTCATGATGGAGAAGCGAGTTAAAGGATACATTAGGAAGCAATCTGTCAAATCCAGAATCTACAACATGACCTGATTTCATCACAAATAAGTTGTGAAATGCACAGAGAAAAGAGAGAATCTTTGGATTAAAAATAGAAATGTATTAATCAAATACAAACACAAAAGGAACATAGCATTCATATACAAAGTGGGAACCATGTTTGGATCTTGATTTTAACTGGAAAAGGAGATTTTTTTAATAATTTGAATTTTTTTCAGTTGAACACTTGGTATGGGCTGGGGATGTAGTTCAGTGGTAGAGTGCTTGCCTAGCATGCATAGGGCCCTGAGTTCAGTCCCCAGTACCACAAAACAAACAAAACGCTTACTAAGTTTTTTTGGTATAAGGTAGTCTTACTGTCTGACAGGTGTATGGGGTCAAGGATTCCTGAGTCAAATAATTGCCTTGAATTTGTGTTAGCTGCCTTTTTATGACAAAACATGCTATCGGGAGGAAAATAAACAAGACTGATGGAAGATTGGTATTTGTTCAAGTTTGTTGATGAGTACATGAGAGGCAGTCATTGAATTATTTTATGAAATTTTTAATGTTTCTGTAGTAAAAATGTTTTTAAGGGGGTCTGGGGATTTAGCTCAGTGGCATAAGCGCCTGCCTTGTCGTGAGTTCGATCCCCGGTACCGATAAAAAGGAAAAAGACAAAAAAGAAAAAAAATGTTTTTACAAAGAATAAAGACTATGCACTTCAAGGAGAGCCTCACAATACTATCTTATAATTAGTAACAATTCTAGTAAGTTTGGTTCAAGTACCAGTTTAGGAGAGAAACTAATGCTTAAAATAGTATCCCTATTATACAGGAATGTTTACTGATACTATGAGGTAACACTGACAAACCTTAAGTGTAGAAAAAGCTATAACATAACATAAAGGAGGCGCTTAGGAATAATACTAATGGGCAGCTTTTCTTAAAAAACACATCACAGAGCCCAGAACCTGGACAAGACTGGTAAGCAGGGTTCCTCCTCCTCGCGGGCTGTGGTGTGGTCAGCCAAAGCCATTTTCTAAAAGACTGCTTTTGTTCAAAGGATCTATAGGACGGATTCCCAAAGGTCTGACCATATCTCACCACACATTGCGATTTTCTTATTGTTCTCATCATGCTGTTATTTTTTCTGTTTTTAAGTTTGGTCATTTTAATCCATGTTCACCTCTCCCTCTGTCTGTGTCTGTGTCACACTTTCTGTCTCTGCTCCCATCATTCCCAGGTTACTGTGTAGCCGGGACATGCCCAGTCCTTTGGCCGACGAGCACGCACTGATAGCCTCCTATGTGGCCCGTCTGCAGCACTGTGCACGGTCAGTGGTAGCACAACAGCACTAGGCGGGTGGCTAGGGCTAATCGGGGGAAACAGAGCTGTTTCCTGCGGTGGCCAGTGGGAGAAGCGCTCCAAGTGGGGATGTCCTTGTAGAGCAACCAGCTATAAATGGCTGAGTTAAAGCAATCACTGAAGCATTAGCTTTACAAGAGAGGGTTCCTTGCCATGCCTTGCACTTACCTACCCATGTAGTTAGAAAATCTCCTCAAAAGTAAGATTTGGGATCTGGGGATATAGCCCGGTGGCACAGCACATGCCTAGCAAGTATGAGATTATAAGTTCAATTTCTGGTACCAGAAAAAAATCAAAGATCAAAAATAAGGTTTGGTTTGTGTAGATTATACTGAAAGAGTGCATACACCTCTAACAGATAGAGTTCCAAAGAGGTAACATTCACAGAGATATTTCATGTATCTTCTTCTATTCATTCTTACCTAAATAATGAAATATTCCCATTGACATTCAAAGTCTAGGGCTAAGCACCCCATAGATATCTCAGTTGTCTAATATGGAGGCTCCCATACCTAGTGATAGAAAAGGAATAGTCAGTGGGGGAAACATACATATGAAAAGGACTTTTGTTAATATTTTACTTCACACCACCTCCTGTAGTTTCTGGAGGAACTCTGGCCTTCCAGATTCCCAGGTGGGCTTAATGGCCTGTTATGTAGGAGGCCAGAAGGCCTGATATATAACAGAGGGCATCATCTTCTCATCCATCAGGTGGCTCTGCAGGCCTGTCCCGGCCTTCCAGACTAATCTTTGAAAGTAGAGTTGTTCCAGCCTAGGCAGGACAGATTACTTTTTAACAGTAAGAGTAATTATCCAGGGTGATATAAAGCTAATATTGTAAAAATAGCAGGAGCATCTTGGCAGAAATTACTACCAGATAGTTTAGCTCATAGTAGCTTATGGTAGATTTATCCAAGATCTCAGGTCCTATTGCCTAGGAGCTCTCTGATCGGGAACTGGTAGCCAGTGGCCCTACAGGAACATGAATGGGTGAGTACTGCATCTCTTGAGTCATAGTTTAAGGAACCAAGCACTATACTTTCTTGAAAAAGTCAGAAATTTCCTGTCTAAATCTAAAAAGATAAGTCAAACCAAACAGAACAATGAAGAATCTTTCTGATTGCCCCCAGATAATTTTCATTGGCCATAAAACCTCTCACTAATACAAGATTTTCTGGCTAGAAAATAGAGTAATAAAGCAACCATGTCATCCACACATGGGTAAATGATGTATAGGCAGAGATGTGATGTGTTAGGAAGAAAAGGAGCTCTTTTGCACAGAGGAACTCACTGTATCCCTTGCCTTTACAGGAGTCAGCCTCTCAACATCCCACTTTTTTTTTTTTAATTGGTACCAGGGATCGAACTCACGACCGCCTGCTTACAAGGCAGGTGCTTATGCCGCTGAGCTAAATCCCCAGCCCTCTTTGGGTCTTCTTGAGTTTAAGATCTAGGTCTAAAAAGTCATTCATTTCCCCCAAACGTTTGGTTAGAAATTTCCATCTTAGACTTTGTAGGCAGTAGGTATTTTCTCAGCCCCTCATTAAGACCACATGCCCCTCAGTGGTGTGAGAGCCGGGAGGTGCGCTGCTGAACAGGAAAGACACACACAGCCGCGTCCTTGTCTCTGAACTCCCTCAAGTGTCTGTAACCTGGTCTTCGGGTATTTTTGTTGTTGTTGATACCATTATTCTTTTTATTTTTATATACCATTATTCTTTATAAGCTTGTTTTCCTTGTCTGTTCTTTGAAGAGTGGAGCAAGACTTGTGATATTTAATAGACACTTGCTGAACTTTTATCTCCTTGGCAGTGTCCTGGACAGTCCTACCAGACTGGATGAGGAACACCGGCTTATAGCCCGCTATGCTGCCCGATTAGCTGCAGAAGCAGGAAACATGGTAAGTGAAGAGAGGTTCCAGAAGGGCTACAGAAGTTAGCGTTTCTTCAGTGTACAAATTATGCAGGGGATAATACTCAAGGGAGTGTGGACTTGGCAAGAGGGAAGGAAGTAGATTCGGGGACAAAGGAGACTTTGATTTACCTGTAGTGTTGTCTGTCTGTCTGTCTGTGTCGTCCGTCCGTCCGTCCGTCCCCCCACCCACCCTCTTTCTCTCTTTCTCCCTCCGTCCCTCCCCACCCTCTTGAGACAGGGTGCAGTCCAGGCTGGACTTAAACTCACTTTGTAGCCTAAACTGGCCTCAAACTTACAGTGATCCTCCTGCCTCAGCCTCCTGAGTGCTGGGGTCACAGGCCATGTGCCACCACACCTGGCCCTGACGTTCTTTTTGCTTGAAAAAAAAAATTAACTGTCTGGGCTGCAAGGGGGGAGGGGTCAAGAAGACAAACTAAAACACTAAGAATTTAATTATCTAATAAGGGCTGGGGATTTAGCTCAGCGGCATAAGCACCTGTCTTGCAAGCAGGCAGTCGTGAGTTTGATCCTTGGTACCGATAAAAAGTTAAAAAAAATAATAATTATCTAATAGGATCTGTAAATTAATAAATTCCTAACAGTATTGTTCAAGAAAAAAAAAGAAAGAAAATACAAATTGCCAATATCAAGAATGAAAGAAGAGACATCATTACAAATCTTACAGATATTTAAAAAGACGATAAGGAATATTATGAACAACTGTCAATAAAAAAATTAACAACTAGATAAAAGGGACAAGTTTCTTGAAAGGTGCAAATTAATTTAAAAAGTAGCACAAAAATAAACAGAAAATCAAGTACTTCAGTATCTGTTAAGGATATTTAATTCATAATTAACTTCTCACAAAGAAACCAGATGTGATAGTGCACACCTGTAATCTTCACACTCAAGGCAACTGAATTTCAAGCCCTGCTCGGGCAACTTAGCAATTTAGTGAGACTGTGCCTCAAAATTTAAAAAATGATTCAGAAGGTACATCAGTGCAAAACGCCCTGGGTTTAATCCCCAGCACACACACAAAAACTTCCCCACAAAGAAAATGCCAAACGCTAGCTAATGGCTTCACTGCTGAAATACAATCATGCTTAAGGAAATAGTATCAGTCTAATGCAAACTCTTTCAGGAAATTCAAGAAAAAACACTTTGTAAGTCATTTTATCAGGCTATTGTGACCTGATACCAAAACAATATAAGGGCATTGAAGAAAAAGAAATTACTTAGCAAATTCTCTCATGAACATGGATGCAAAAATCTTTAGTTATCAAATAAATTCCAGTAAATGTAAAAGATTAATATTCTATGATCAAGCGAGATTTACCCTAAGAATACAAATTTATTTAAATTTAATACATGAAAATGAACCTATATAATTTGCAGGTTAACAGTTTGTAAATGAAAAGTTTAAATCATTTCCATAGATGCAGAAAAAGCATTTAACAAAACACAGTTTCCATTTATGATAAAAGTTACTCACTACTAAAGCAGATATTTCCTTACCTTGATTGAAAGAACCTATCAAAAAACTTCAGGTAATATCACTTAAATATTAATATTTAAATTTCTTCCCCTTAATATTGGGAGCAAAAGAAAAAGATAGGGCCAGCGACGTAGCTCAGCGACACAGCACCTGTCTGGTAAACACAAGGTCCTGAGTTTGATTCCCAGTACCAAGAAAAAAGAAAAAGGTACACTTTTACAACTTCCATTCAAAATTTTCAGAAAATTTAGAAGCGCTAGCCACTGCAGCACAAGAAAAAGCAGTCTTTGTGTAAAGACGATATCATATATAGTGGATCCTAAGGAACTAATGAATACACTACCAGAACAGATAGCAGTGTTGCCAGATAAAAAGTCTATAGAGCTGGATGTTTGTATCTCAGTGGCTTATATCAGAATGCTTGCCTACCACGGATCCCCAGCACAAGAGATAAAAAAAAGTTTGAAAACTGCAAAACATTGCTAAGAGAAATTAAGGAAAATGCATGTGAGTGGAGAAAAAAATGTCTTATTTATAGGCTGAAAAGTTCAGTGCTGTTAAGATAGCACATGGCTCCAAATTGATCTGTAAATCTATAGACTACAATTCTACACCAGGCTTTCTTATAGAAATTGGCAAATTGATTTTAAAATGTATTTGGAAAAGCCAAAGGAGCTAGAATAACTGTAACAGTCTTAAAAAGAAAAATTTGGCAAACTTAAACTTACTTGGCATCAAGACTTACTCTAAAGCTATAGTAATCAAGAAAGGATGAATTGACAAAAGAATGAGCACATAAACTAGAGAAATTTGAACTCAAAGTAGCCATAAAATAGATTCACATGAGTACAATCAAATGACTTAGGACAAAAGCAGTTCTAGCTAGGAAAGGGCTGGGGATTTAGCTCAGTGGCATAAGCACCTGCCTGACAAGTGCAAGGTTATGAGTTCAATCCCTGGTACAAAAAAATCAAAGACAAAAACAAATGCTGTCAGCACAACTGGGTAATCTGTGTGGATGAAAATGAACCTGTGCTGTTGCTTCAAAGTGTACAGAGAAATTTTGAAGCATATTATAAACTTAAAAGCTAACACCAGAAAGCAGTAGGAAAAAAAACCACAGGAGAATTTACGGAACTTGAGAGAGTTTCACAAGCTATTAAGGGGCCAGGGATGTAGCTCTGCGGCACAACAGTAGCCTGGCAAGTGCAAGGTCCTGCATTCAATTCCTGGTACCAAAAAAAGTCATTAAAAAGAAAAACATAAATTGGTCCTTATAAAATGTAAAATCTTTTACCGATCAAAAGTTACTATTGGGGCTGAGGATTTAGCTCAGTGGCATAAGCACCTGCCTTGTAGGCAGGCAGTTGTGAGTTCGATCCCCAGTACCGATTTAAAAAAAAAAAAAAAAAAAAAGTTACTATTAAGCTGGTACATGCCTGTAATTCCAGCATTTAAGAGGCTGAAGGCAGTAAGACTGTAAGTTTAAGGCCAACCTAGACTAAATAGTGAGACTTTGTCTAAAAATTAAGAAAAGATACTATTAAAAAATAAATACTGGCCGGGCGAGGTGGCGCGCGCCTGTAGTCCCAGCTACTCGCGAGGCTGAGGTGGGAGGATCGCTTGAGTCCAGGAGTTCTGGGCTGCAGTGCGCTATGCTGATCGGGTGTGCGCACTAAGTTCGGCATCAATATGGTGACCTCCCGGGAGCAGGGGACCACCAGGTTGCCTAAGGAGGGGTGAACCGGCCCAGGTCGGAAACGGAGCAGGTCAAAACTCTTGTGCTGATCAGTAGTGGGATTGCGCCTGTGAATAGCTACTGCACTCCAGCCTGGGCAATATAGTGAGACCCTGTCTCTAAAAAAAAGTAATAATAAAATAAAAAATAAATAAATACTGGTTTTTTTCAGATTGTATAAATCTTTTGTCTTTCAAGAAATAAGTAGACAGATCACAATCACAAAGAAAATATTCACAACCCAGAACTAGACAGAACATTTAAAGAATTCCTGCACCGGGCTGGGGATTTAGCTCAGCGGCGTAAGTGCCTGCCTTGCAAGCAGGCAGTTGTGAGTTCGATCCCCGGTACCGATAAAAAAGGAAAAAGACCAAAAAAAAAAAAAAAAAAGAAAAGAATTCCTGCACCTCAGTAATAAAAAGTCAGCTCAACTCTTTACAATAGGGCCAAAGACTCCGACACTTCACAAAGGTATACAAAAGGTCATTAAGCACATGAAAAAGTGCTTGATAATGTCTAGCATGGTAGCACATGCCTGTAATTCCAGCACTCGGGAGGCGGAGCCAGAGAATTGTTGCTTGATTTCATTAAGTATCAAGAAAATGTGAAAGCCACGTTGAGGTACCACTGCACAGCCACTCCAGTGACTGGATGAAAAAGACTGACAAAAGTTTGGCAAGCCTGAAAGTTCATCTGTTGGTAAACATGTGAAATGTGCTCTTTTGGAAAACTTTTCAGCAGGTTTTTTAAAGTGGAAAAAGTTTAGCCTGTCACCCAACAGTTATACTTCTAGACATGTATCCAAAAGAAATGAAAACACACTCATAAGAACTTTTGTACAAGAATCTTCCTAGAAATTCTAGTCACATTATCTGGGGAAAACTCAGATGCTTTTCTTTTCTTTTTTTAAGTTAACTGTGTTGATATGCTTTTGATAATTTGTACCTGGATATAACATTTTATAAGATTCTTCTTTTTTCCCTATTCCCCTACCCTCCTTTCAGTGTTTCTCCCTCCACCCATTTACAAAAATTTTGTTTCCATTTTTTCCTTCTATTCTCAGATTTTTTTCAATATGCAAAAAACCAAAAATGATATATTCATACAATGGAATATTACTCAATACACATAGGAACATACACTGACACATAAGAAAATTGGACCCTCAGGTATGTTTTTTAGCCAGTACCAGGCAGTTTTTATCACAATGGCTTTGTAGTATAATTTTGAGTCTGGGATTATGATGCCCCCTCCCTTGCCTTTGTTGCCCAGAATTGGCTATTCAAGTCTCTTCTGGTTCCAAATGAATTTTAGTATTGTTTTCTCTATTTTTGTGAGATACACTGTTTGAGTTTTTATCAAAGTTGCATTAAATCAGTATAACAATTTTGAAAGTATGACCATTTTCATTATATTGTTTCTTCCTCCCTAACCGCAAGGGCTATCTTTCCATTTTCTGACATCGTCTTCAGTCGTTTTTCAGAGTACTATAATTTTCAATGTAGAGGTCTTTTACTTCCTTCATTAGATTAATTCCTAGGTATTTCTTTTTTTTTTTTTTTTTTTTTTTTGGATGCTATTGTGAAAGGTGTTGTTTCTCTTATTTCTCAGTAAGTTTGTTATTTTTGTACAGGGACGCTGTTGATTTCTGAGTGTTGACTTTGTGTCCAACTCTGCTGCTGCATTTGATTAGTAATCCTCAAAGACTTGCAGTGAAGTTTATTGGGGTGGTCTATGCAGTGTCACGTCATCCGCAAATAATGATAATTTAACTTCTTTGCCTGTCTTACTCCTTTTATTTCTTTCTTGTCTAATTACTCTGGCTGATATTTCTAGGACTATACCAAATAAGAGTAGAGACAGTGGACATCTTTGTCTTGTTCCTGGTTTTAGAGTGAAAGCTTTCAGGTGCTTTTCCATTCAGTGTGATGTTGGCTGTTGGTTTGTCATAGATGGCTTTTATCAGATTGAGATAACATGAGACAATATAGATGAATTTGAAAAAATAGTATCAGTAAAATAAGCCAAATCCAAAAAAGTACACACTATTTTATTGTATTTACATAAAGTTGCAGAACAGAAAACCTAACTTATGACAGTAGAAATCAAGAGTTGTTTGTAAGATTATAAGCATATTGAAAGGAGAGGAGAAGACCTAGGTTGAAGGAATGTTCTGTTAAAATAATGTTGTGTGAGTGTGCCCATTTACCAAAACAGACTGAACAATGTACTTCAGATCCAAATATTTTACTCAAAAGAAGAGAACCAAGAATCATGTGTACATAAAATTTGCATTGAAATGGTCAGCAGTTACCCAGGGATTTACAATTTATTTCTTACATTTTTAAAATATGTGCAATAAAATGTTTCCTTTTTTTCTCCTTTTACTTTCCTTGAGAAGTTGCACACATACTAATATTTACTCCATGCTTCAGCTACACACATTCTTTTGATTCATTTTGCAGATTTTTATTTTGTTTCTGTAATGTGCCTGTTTGAATACTCTAGTGGACAAATGATTCCTGCCCTCTTGGAACTGACAGTCTAGTGGCAGACATTAAACAAATGACTATGCTATTAATCATAACTACAAACTGTTGTATGTAATAGAGGGAGCCATGAAAAGTCCTTGGTCTGTTTAGGAGAGGAGTAAGGTAGGGGTCATTTCTGTGAGAAAGTGCTACTTCTGTTAAGATCTGAAAATGAGTGGAGAATTCAACTTCCTGGGAAGTAAAAAGAAACTAGAAAGCAAAGTGATCCAGATCCAGTGGCTTCTGCTGCCACTGCTACCCCTGCCCTGTGCTTGACTTCAGTAGTCATGAAGTTTTGTGGGCACAACTGTGTTTTTGTGCCAAGTAGATTTGGAAACAGACCCACAGGCAGCCAGGCCTGTGGAAGCACTGTCCCTGAGTGAAGGGAGCGTGTGGAACACAGCAGCACAGCAGAGGTAGGAGCGCTCCAGGCTGCCTCCTCCCGGGGAAGGGAGCCGCCTCCCTGGAAATGTCAAACTTCAGGCCTGTCTGTACTTGTGTGAGGCACATTTATATTAGTTCCTGCTCAAGAAACACTATGATGAAATATTTTCCACTTTTTTATTGGTTATTTAGATTAATGGGTGTCATTACGGCAGATTTGCTCTTGCACATACCATACTTTATCATTTTCACCCCTCTCGTCCTACCTTTCTAGTTTCACATTTTTGGCAGTGACAGTGTATATATTTTAAATTTTTAACATAAAATTAACCCCAGGGCAAAGAAAACCAAAATCAAATAAACAAAAACTGCAGGGCATCTGGCAGAAGTACAATGCAAATCTTTTGAAGCTTGCATTCTTCACCAAGACCTAGCAGTATTGTCACAGAAAGAGTTCAACTAAATATGGACTCCTCAGATTCCTGAGCTGACCCTACAAAATTAGGCTCATGACTGCAGGTGTTAGAGTGACTTGCTATAAAATAACTGTTTATTGATTTTAAAGACCTAAAAGGAATTTTAAAGATGTGACAAAATATTTTCAAAAGATCAGAGCTGAAAATAAATCCAGTAAACTCATAAATTTGTAGGGAAGGAGTTTGGGGGCTTGGTTTGTTTGTTTTTTGTTTTTTGTGGTTTTTTTTTTTTTTTTTTTTGGTTTTTGGTTTTTGCAGATTGGTTGTTGTTTTGAGTCACAGATTTACTGTGTTGCCCAGGCTGGTCTCAAAAGCCTGGACCAAAGTGATCTTCCTACCGCAGCCTCCCAAGCAGCTGGGATTACAGGTGTGCATTCTTCTACACCTGTAGGCGTCTTTAAATCGCTCAGAAATTCAATGGAGTGCTTGCTTTGACAGCACATACACTAAATATATATATATATATATATAGTGGATGTGTTAAATGTCAGATCAGACACAGCCAAAAGAAAATTTGTGAACTGGAAAAAAAAATATGTAAGAAAAGTTCCAAAATAACAAAGATGAAAAATCTGAAGCAAATTTTTCAGAGATAGAGGATAGAGAATCAACAGTCATTTAAAAAAGAAAATAGAATTAGGATGAAGAATCAATGGCTGCACAATTTCCAGATAGTTAAGAAAGAAAGGAGTCCTAAGATTGAAATATTACAGTCAGTCCCAAACTGGATAAATAAAATAAATGCGTCCTTAGACATGTCATAGCACCACTGCAGGATACAGAGACAAGATCCTCCAAGGGCAACCAGAGAAGACATCTCATTACCTACAACAGCTGGCAGGTAGGTTTCTCTATGGGAACAATGGAACAATGTATTCATAAAGGAAAGTAAATTTATTTTAAAATAAAACAACTGACTATCATGATACTGCATTAAGAATTTTTTTTATAAAAAATTAATTGAACATGTTTAGTATACTGAAAGGAGCTAGCTAAATTGTCAAAAGGAGTTCCGGGAGAACATGGCAGACAGACAACAGCAACTACCGGAGGCTCTCTGAAAGGCTCGGCTCAGAGGCCAGGAAAGATGCGGACTAAGGAGACATGAACTGGTAGAGATATGCTCTGCTGACTCAGGAACGAACTGGGCTGAGAGAAACCAATTTAGAATACAGTCCTGGCGCTAAAATAGGAACAGAAAAGACGGTGTGGAGGCTGGACCCCGCGCCATTGGAAACCGCGATTTGGGTTTCCCGCCGCCCGGCGGCTGGCTGCCTCCACAGCGGCTTGGCAAGCAGAGACGCGCAGAAGCTCTGGGAACGGGAGTCTGCGAACGGAGTCGAAAACAGGACGGACAAGGAGGCGTACACTGACTTGTGGCGAGGTGAGTGAGAGAAACTGACACTCTACCACAGTTTGACTCCAGCGGAGGACTTTCTGGGCTCGGGCAGTTCTGCGGGAACAGGGCGCGGTGGCGACTCCAGCCACACATTCCCCTCTCGGACGGGATTGGTGAAAAGTGCCTGGCCTGCGTGACGCTGCGGGTGGACTTGGTAGGCTGGCCTAACCCAGATCCCAGAGCCTGACTGTGGCCCGGAGGAGCGACTGACTCCCGCGTAGGCTGCCTCCTCCGCAACTCCCTGGTGCGCAGCGGTGGGCGGGAACAACTAGCCAGCGCAATTTGATCAGGCTGTGGCTGATAGGCAGGGAAGCTGGGCCTCCTATGTAAGCTTGCATATATATAAGGAACAGAGAATATGGGGAAGGGAAGCAACAAGAAAGGCTCCTCGGCCCCCAATTCTGAGAAACAGGCAATAGCGGACACCGCACCAACAGACATAAAGCGCCATATAGAGAGCCTCATAGACCAATTCAGGAATGAAGTTATCAACGACCTGAAGCTAGAAGTATGCAGAATAGTTAGAGAAATGCTATGCACCACCCAGGAAAAAACAGATGGTGGAATGGAAGAACAGAAAAAGAGGGGAGAATTGTTTGATGGAGAAAACAGAGAAAGCATAGAGTACGTGAAGCAGGTTCAAAGGGACTACCAAGAAATTAAGAAGTCTATCCAAGACTGGCATAACAGCTTGAAAGAAACTAAGGACAGACTATCTGAACTGGAGGGCAGACTTGTAATATGGGAGAATGAAATGAAAAACTTCTTAAAAATAACAAAGAGACAAACAGCAATAATACAAAGACAAGAAGATGATAAGAGGAGACATAACTTAAGGATTAAGAACATAAAAGAAGAAGTAGGGACGCAAACAAGTGAACTACAAAAGCTACTCACAGAAATAATCCAGGAGAATTTTCCTAATTTAGCAAAAGGTAAAGATACTCAGATGTATGAGGCATACAGGACCCCAGCTACTACAACCCTAACAGAGAAACACCCAGGCATATAATAATAAAAATTCCAGAAATTCAATACAAGAACAGAATATTAAAAGCTGTAAGAGACAAGAAACAGACCACTTACAAGGGAACACCCATCAGAATTACAGCAGATTTCTCTGCACAAACCATCAAATCACGAAGAGCATGGGGGGAAATAATTCAAGCTTTGAAAAATAATAATCTCCAGCCAAGATTGAGATATCCTGCACAACTGTCCCTGGAAATTGATGGAAAAACAAGGTGCTTCCAGGATAAAGAGGAACTAGGGGAATTTGCAACCACCAATTCAACCCTACGGAAAGTATTGCAGGATATTCTAAAAAAAGAAAAATACAAAGAACCCAGAAATAGTGGCGGGGAGGCCACAACGAATGGAGCAGAGAACAAAATGAAGAAGACAAACTGACAGCTACTGACAGAAAAAGAGCTCAACAGAAATGAGACAGAGAAGACTGGATGATAGGAACAGCTATTTTGGAGAAAAGGACATCTAAATAGGTAATACTGATTTAGTATCATCTTGTTTTGAAGTCTCATCTAGCTTTTGTTCTTCTGTCTCCAATGGTCTAAACAGGTTGTATCTTATTGGATTTTATTATGTACGATAGTATAAGCAAAAACCTTTTAAAGACAAGGAGATTATACAGAAACCATTTTCAGAAATCATTTTCTGTTAGTCGATTCTAAATACTCTATAATGCTGTCATTCTCTTAAATGGTTTTACATTGTTTTGATATACTTAATGCTACAGTATATGAAGTTGTACTCAAGGACTTCAAGGAAAGAGTCAATATGGTAACTACTCTTGGGTCAGAATTATCTGGTGGTGAAACACTATTCTGCTTAAATGGTTATGTTTTGATCTGCCCTGTTTCGCTGTTATGCCCTCTTTTTTTCTCAATCTCCACTCCATTATTTACTTTTTTATTTTTATCCATTTAATTAAAGGGAAAAAAATAGCAGGATATAATATAGTAACCCACTTTGACTTTCTATTATCTCGATTTGAAGCCCTGTATTACTCTCACCATCTTGTTTTTGACTGATGTTCCCCTATTCTGTTTTGCTGGATAGTATCAGGTTCGAAAGTTTAGGCATCAGCTGAGAAGATAATGAGATTCATTATAACGCCCATTCTCGTTGACTTTTATCTACTTTTGGAGACCTACAATGTCTCCAATGTTTTGGTTTTGTCGGTTTTGTTCTTTAATGTTTTGTTCAATTATATTACAACTAATGATATAGGCAATTCTATTAGAGATAGCGGGAGGCATTATGGTAACCACTGTTGATCACCTTGTATTATGTTTTTATATTATCTATTATGTCCACCCTTTTGACTTGAACGATTCTGTTCTGTTATGTCACATTTGGTTTTACTCTCTTCCAAAAAAGCAATAAGAACCGTGGGAGCAATGAAACCCAAAATGTGTAATAGTCATTGTACAAAAGAGAGAAAAAGAAAGTGCTCTAAACTATATAACTGCATGTATATTTAAGTGTATAAGATAGAAAATGATATCACAGAGTTATATTGGATCATTGAACAGAACTGTTTGCAGTATCATTGTTGGAATGTCCACTCTACAAGCTTTAATTTTGTGACTTGAACAATTATTTCTAAGATGGCAATATGTAATCCATTAACTAGTGATTTCCTACTGCGCATTTTTTCTTCTGTAAATCTGTATAACTTGTACCCCTTCACTGTTTTTTTTTTCTTTTCTCCTTAAATTAAAAAAAAAAATTGTCAAAAGGAGAAAACTTTCTGAAAAGGACTGAGAAAAGTCACAGATTTTTGCTAATTGATTATTCATGACAGTCCTGCAAAGAAACAGCCTGGGAGAAAGACCCAACCTGACCTACCAAGGGTTCCAGAGTTTGTTGGTGTGCAAACTGGATTAGGGATGAAACTGGGTGGGGTGCTCTTCCTTTTGTCAGCTACTGAAGTTCATTGCTGAAGATGATGGTTCTAGAAGAAGGGGTTAAACCCTGGAAGCTAAGAAAGAGATGAAAGACGGACAAGCTGAAGCCAAAACCAGAGAATGGGCAGACATTGCCTGAGGAGTGCCCAGAGCTGTTCAGCACAAGTAAAGGCTCTGGGGTCGGAAGTCACAAGGCAAGAGCCCAGGGAGCAGTGTTGGAGTCAGACAGGCCCGTTTATTCAAGACAAATAAATATATCAGCCCGTACTGGTACCCGTAGTACCAATTGTGTTTACTTGTTAGGGAAATAGAGTTATAAAAGCTGCAAATGGAACTTGAGTTATTTCTCCCCAAAAAAGGAACTCATCCTTTAGGATTTAAATTTTAAAATGTTTTCTTGAGTCTCTTAACATCAGATTGCATATCTGACTCCAGCATTACAACTCTAATAATGATTAGTGGAATGGAACAGACTAGAAGCAGGTGTGTATGGGTGTGGTTACTACAGGGTCCGTTAAACCTGGCCTGTGCTCTCAGTTAGTCACAGTGGCTCATTACTTTAGATGTGAAAATTCGTAAGTGTGTTGGATGGGCTGCACAGTCATTAAATTTTAGTAACTGTGCTCAATGCCATTGATAGCCTTGTTGACCTTACATAGTGCTTTTTAAATATTGTAAATAAAAGCTGCAAAGCCATTTGACCCTGAGATCCTGGTCTTCCTTTGCTGCAAACCAAGATAAGGCTATTTACACCTGATAGTTTCTGATGCCTGTCTCTAATTCTTGGGGAAAATGATGATTGCTAAGATGGTCTTGAGGCTGAATACTGATACGGGCCCTTTCATCTTCAGTTTATTTTACAGAGTATAGTTATCTTATATATATTGGGTCTCTTGGGAAGGATTCTTCTTGGCTAGATTTCTGTTAAACAGAAAACTCCTAATCCTCTAATCACACACCCATACAAGTGCTTTGCATAAAGTGGGTGTAGAGCTCAAAAGAATTTATTTATAGCCTGCCAGATAGGCTTTGTATTGATTTTTTTTTAAAGGCCTTCTCCCACAAAGACAGACTATTAAATCATGTGGGCAACCTGCACCGTACCCTGCAGAGCATGTCCCCTGACACTTCTTCAGGCTGATCCTTAAAGAAAGACACTTTCGGTTCCTTAGATGAGCCAGGAGAGCTAATTTGTTTTCCTGAAGTGTTTAGGTTCTTTTTTTTTTTTTTTTAAGATAAAACAAAAAACTCTAATGTGTGATAAATCAGTAGTAAAAGCAAATTCTTAAAATTTCACCATAGACGTCACCAGCATTGCATGTAACAAAGATGCTTTGTTTACCTTTAAGGTTTTTGTTTGGTGTTTGGAAGTACTGGGGATTGAATCCAGGGAGCACTGAGCTGCATCCCTATCCCCAACCTTATTAAACAAATTTTTGAAACAAGGCTTTGCTAAATTCCCATGTTAGCCTCAGGTTTACAGTCTTCTCCCTCAGCCACCTGAGTAGCTGGGATCACAGGTGTATGCTACTCCATCTACTTTGGTGGGTTGGTTTGGTGCTCATGAAAAATTTTAGATCTTGTTTTAGAAAAATAAAAGAAAGGAAACACCGTCACCCATTATCACATTGCCTCCCATGTAAATACTTTGGAGAGACTTCTTCCATTAATCAGCTCTCACAGCCCAGCTCCTTAACGTCTCTGGGCACACTCACTTCCTACAGTTAGAGATTTACAGTGCCCATGCAGTGTTCTGCACACATTTAAGACTCCAAGCCCCCTAAAATAGTCATTGTCAGACCTGTATATATTATACTCATTTGTGAAGCATTTTAAAAATATACAGATCCTTAGCTTCACCTCAGACCTACTGAATGAGAACCTCTGGGTTTAGGATCTATTGATCTTTACTGAAAAAAAGGAAGAACAGTAAAGTCCCAGTCTCTGATTTACAGCTGGTTTGGGAACCACTGCCTTAAACAGTGTTATTGGATTTTTGAGAGAGGTTAATAATGCACAGCCTTTAGTCTCTGGGTGGTGGGAGGGTGGGCGGACTGCCCTGGAATATAATGATAGTCTAGAATAGAAAAAACAGAAGAATGTCAGGCACATCATTCTGCCAAGTTCATAAAGGTGAGAGCCTCAGGTCTCCTTTTAGGAGGCTGCAGAAATGCACTCCAGTGAATTAGTTTGCTAGTTGTGTCAGCTTTCCTTGGTTTTTTAGCATTTGACTAGAGGTCTTGTTTCTTATCTTCTAGCTTTCATTTCTCCATCTCATTAAAGGTGATGGAGCTCTGTAAGACTACTGAAACCTAAGAGAATATTAATGTCTATCAGTGGAAAGAAGAGGCATCTTGTCCTTCCTAGGATTAAAGGGACTGCAACTCAATGGATCCCACTCTTTGAATCCATTATTCTCAAATATTAAAACTTTAATCCTTACAGTATGCTCCTCTGGTCCTTTGTATTTCATTGGCCTTGGTGTATCATCCATTCAACCTAATAGTTGCATTCATTGTTATGTATTTAGTTATTTAAATGATCTCTCACGTTTTGTCTCCTATACTCATTCATATTACATTCTGTAGTATTTAAGAAGTCTTTTTCCTCTAGATGTTACCCTGCATAACTGCTTTGGCCTAGTTACTGAAATAATAGCTACCACTGTGAGAGCCTTTTGTATCTATAGTAATGGGCTCAATGTTTTAGAAACATTGCCTCTGGTCCTCAGCACATCTCTGGGAGATAGATATGATTTCCAAAATGATTTTAGAAAAACTAAGGCATAGAAAAATCATCTTACCCAAGGCCCCCCAGTTGGACTTGAGATTTAGGTACAGGGCTGTTTGACTTCATGTGTGAATGTGGGATCCTTTACTTCTCAGAGATTATTTCCCACATTTACTGTTAGGTATACACAGCCATTGTTTTTGACTTACATATATAACCAATGTTTTGGAGGTTTGGTGGTAAGTAAATCTGTTTATTTGTTATGTGCTCTACAGTGCTTGAGTTTTGTCTTTTCCAGGGTAAGGAGCTCTCATTGATTAGTGCAGTGTTTCAAAATAGGGCTGCGCACTGAAATCACTGGAGAAAATTTTAAAACTACTGATATGTGGGGTCACTTCTAGAGATTGTAACTGGTCTTCAATGATGTAGCCTACACATGGGAATGTTTAAACTCTCTCCTGGTGATTATAGTGTGTGGCAAGTGTTGATAGCCATAGACAGAGTAAGGTTTCAGAGCTGGGGATAAACTAGTCACCTGGCCTACTAGACATGCCCTTTGGTGAGATTCAATAGTTTTAGAAGTAAAATGCAATAATTCTAGTTTCTCTGTTAGTACCTCAAGTTCATGTCTGAAATCTGCTCATTGGTAAAGCACTTAACTTTTACTCTTTCAGACCATTTTTACCTTACAGTAGAATCTTTATTCACTTACCTGGGACTCAAAAAGACTAGGTATTGAGACTTTAGTCAACTTGCCAGGTAAATCTCTGACCGTATTTAAGAGCTAAAAAATCTATTGGCCAAGAGTAGTGGTGCACAGCTGTAATGCCTGCATTCAGGAGGTTGAGTAGCAAATTTGAAGCCAGCCTGGGCTACAAAGTGAGTTCAAGCCCAGTCTGAACTGTATGGTGAGACCTGGTCTTAAAAAGAGAGAGAGACAGAGACAGACAGATAGAGAAAATATGAATACACCTCTGGTGTGAAACAGGTTTAGCGGGGGAAAAAAACTGTTAGGAAAACACTGAAAAATCATCTTTTAGCCAAAGTACAGATTAAAAACTCTATCTTGACTTTCTAGGATCCTTCCTTGTATTTGTAGTTCAGAGATCACTACCTGTGGTTGAAGTCATGCTGAGATGCCCAGTAGAAAAGATTTCCATGTCCTCCTTAGGGCTCAGGTTTTACTGATTGAAAACAACCAACTTTGAATTTGATACAGACGTGCAACTTTTGGTTCTGTAGAGGTTTTGTTATGGCCTAATAAATTGTTTCTTTATTACTTCAAAGCTGATCAGAGAGCTTCTGAAAGAACAATTCTGTTTCATGACAGGAAGGAATCGATCACTGTCAAACACCTTCCTTGTCCTCCTCCCTAACTACAGGATGTTGAGTTGCCAGCATCCACATTTGTCACTGGTGATAATTTATCATGTGATGTTGCTTCGTTAAAGCTGTCAGAGTAGTTTTACCAAATGGCTGTAGAACAGTGACGAAGCTGGGCATGGCGGCACGCACCTGTAATCCCAGCACTCAGGAGGCTGAGACTGAAGTGTCCCTGTGGACTATACAGTTAAGTCTGAGGCCAGCTTTCACGACAAAATAAGACCCTGTCCAAAAAGAAAAGCCACTGGTATGGAAGAATATTTAGCAATGTGACGTTAGAAAATTATAAGAAGTTACCCAGCAAAGTGGCGCTGACCTGTAGTCCCAGTTTCATGGGAGGCTGAAGTAAGCAGATCACTTGAATCCAGGAGTTCAGGGCCAACCTGTGCAGTATAAGACCCCATCAAAAGAAGGGGTAGGGGGGGACAAAACAAAAATTACAAATTTTTATGTTGTTGAATTTTTAAATTAAGTTAATGAAAGGATCTGGAATCAAGTAAGTTCTCCTGTGATATTATGGGCAACCCAGAGTCTATTGTTAGGGTTTCCTGAACTCCATGGAAATGGTTCCGGGTAAGATTTTGCAATGAGGCTTAATCAACAAGCTGCTTCAGGATGTTTGCTGAAGGTTTAGTCTGGCTCTGGATCCTGAGAAAAGGTTCTAAGAATAGAGCTGTTACCTGCGCTTTTTCAAGGATGACTATGGTAGCTTTTGTGAAGTAACCACTGGTTTGAAGTTTTGCAGGTCTCGTTCCACTTGAATAGGGAACCCTAGGAATCTAGGAGACTTGCCTGGTAGTCTCTGGCTTAGAGCTGGGCCCAGGGCTGCATGAGTTTCTACTCAGTGGACGCCCTGTAATTGGACCAGAAGTTCTTCAGCTGATCGAAAGCTGGTTTCAAATTTTTTTTTTTTTTTTTTTTTTAGGCATGGTCTTGCTCTATAGTTCAGGCTGGCCTTGAGTTCTTGGTGATCCTCCTGCCTTAGCCTCCCAAGTGCTGGATTACAGTCGTGCACCACCACACTTAGCTATAAAGCTGGTTTAATATATTTAAGAGGGTGTCTTCTAAAGTATGTTGGGATGAACTGTTACTGAAGTTTGCTAGGCTTTGTGCAAAAATATTTCAGCAAAGAGAAAGAACATACGGAATAGATGAAGCAAATGAGACAAAATCTTAACAGATGTTAAATCTAGTCATGAGTGAAAGGAAATACATTATTTTTTAAGTAAGTTAAAATGAAGAACCATAAATAAGGTAGCTCCATCCCTTTACATTTCTTTCTATATTTCTGTATGTATTTTTGTGTAAGACCACTGAGGGTAAGTCTCATGGAGCTCCAGGTTATTGCCTTGGCAGAAAACACTCCCACCTGATGGAAGTCCAGTTTCCCTTTTCAGTTTTTTGCAATGTAATAGGTACTTAAAAACTCTCATAATACAAAAATACAGATTTCTTTTCATAATTTACCAAATCTTTATAGCTGTCTCGCCGTCAACAATGCAGTGACAGTTTATTCTGTTTAACCTTGGTCTCATAGAAATAGCACTTTTACGAATGAAATAGGGAGTGCAGCTAGGAACCAGCAGTCTTGTTCAGCATACAGCCCAGCTAGTAGAAGCAACAGTCTATGTGGAATAGTAGGGTGTAGAGTGTGGCCCATGGACCAGGGGCACGGTCACTGTTCCCCAGGGCGAATGGAGACCGGGTCTGTGACGGCGTTACAGAGGTCTCTTAGGGGCATTGGCTTATCCTCTGCTCCATATGCCCCAAGCCCTGAATCTTTCCCTGGCCCTAGAAGTTTCCCTGAGTTTTAGTGATGTGAATTTATTGCCTTGACTGCAGAAATTCTGGAATTTCACTGTGCTCACAGCTATAGGCCTGCCTTCTAAGCATCACAGTGCTTATTGATCTTCAACTAATTGTAGTTTTCTGGCTCTGCTGCAACCTAAATTTGCACATAGAGGGTATATAATGTTTTTAAAATAAAATTTTGAGTTATAATAAAACATTTATAGAGCTACTCCCTATACTGTATCATTAAGACCCTACCGTATCACTTTCAGTAAATACTCCCATTTTACAAGAAAATGAAAGTGTAGCAAAATAACTCACAGTCGAATGGCCAATAATAGCAGAGCTAGGACTCCTAATTAGTTGTCCTGCTTCCATTCCTGTCCCACTATAGCAAATATCCACCTAGATGCTAAAGCAGTTTTGTACATTCACCTGTTTTCATAAACTTTATTTTAGAACTATTTAGGTTTATGGGAAAAGTCCAAAGATGCTGCAGAGCTCACTATGTTGCATATCTAGTTTCCCGGATCATCTTACCTTTGTATTGCACATCTGTTGTAGTTAATGAAACAGTACTGATGCAATAACTGTGGATTACAATCCCAAACCCTTAAGTTCCTCTTAGCCATGACAGGTTTTCTGACTTTCCTTGTTTTTGATGACCTTGAATATTAGTTAGGCATAGCTCGTATTTGGGAATAAAGGATCTGATGTTTTTCTTCAGTGAGAATGGGGTTGTGGGTTTGGGAAGGAAGAGATGCAATGCCATTTTCACCACATCAGCTCCATCTCTCTGAGGGTAGAATATGTACATACACTCTTTGGGAATTATCTTACATGGGAAATTTATTCTTCCTCGTTTATTAAATTAGGAATTTATGTGACTATAGAGCAATGCTTTTACCATGTAATTTGAGAGTGTTTTTTGTTGTTTTTGTGGTGCTGAAGATTGAACCCAGGGCTTCATGCTTACTAGGCAAGCACTCTACTGTTGAACAATATCCTCGGTCTTGAAACAGTGTTTTGCTTTTTATTTTTTTAATATATACAACCAGATTTCATATTCCTCTACCCCAAATCCTGCAGTGGCTTCATACCCCATTCAGAATGCAGAGCTCCTGCATGACCTAGGCACCCCCAGCCTGTCCCTTCCCGCTCCATCACCCTCTCCTTCACTGCTCCCCTGCAGGTACCAAGCAGGGCCAGCAGTAGGCCTTAGCACTTTCTGTTCTTTCCACCCTGCACAACCTCCCTCAGACCTGCTGGTTTGCTTCTCTTTTCAGAGGTCTCTGACAGACTCTTTTTCAGAGTCTTATGTCCCAACTAGAAGGGGACTGTCTGATTGACCAGTGTATGTCCAGGGCTGGAACAGTACCTGACACAGTGGGAACCTCATAAATGAATAAGTAAATGTACACATGTTATGGCTGTGTCTAGATGTCCCCCCAAAAGTTTCATGTAGTCACAGGGCCGGCGGGCTGGTTCTAGAGTGTGTGGCACTGGGGTCAGTCTACTGATTGGTTTGACATAATTCTGATAGGCTTAAGGGTGTGAGTGTTACACCCACCCTTGGGTGGGTAGCCTGCATGCCATATAAAGGACAGAAAGAGGGTGAACATGCCTCCCTGCTTGCTGTGGACTACAGTATTTCTCCTTTGTGATGCCCCTTTTCCACGCCACCCTGCCTCCTAGAGCCAGCCAACTATGGACCGAACTCTCTACAAACTATGAGCTGCAATAAACCTTTCCTCCCTTAACTTTGGGTGTCAGGCATTTTGTCTCAGCAACAAGAAAAGAAACTAAGATAAGAAAGTATTAAATTTTTAAAGAAGTCATCTTTCATCTCTTCAGGCCGAAGTACAGTATCTTATAATTGTATTTCTGTTTTACTCCTTTTAGTATCCTGGCATTTTAGAAAAAGAGACCTTGTGTGTGTGTGTGTGTGTGGGTATGTGTAGGTATGTGTGGTGTGTGTGTGTGTGGTTTGTTTTTATTTAAGGAGCCCATGGTGTTTAAGGTGGTGAGTTTTTTTCTTTGTTTGGTTTTTTGGGGGGGTCTTGCGGGGGGGGTGGTTTTGTGTTGTTGTTTTTGTGGTGTCAACCGAACTAAACCTTGCACTTACCAGGCAAGCACTTGAGCCACTGAGCTAAATCCCCAGCCTGTTTCTCTGGTTTTTGTATCAGTCCATTTTTCATTACTGTAGTGAAATACCTAAGGCAGGCTAACTAGAAAAGGTTTGTTTTGACTCACAGTTCTGAAGGTCCAAGGTCAAAGGGCTATGTCTGGGATGACCTTGCTGAGAGTGTCCTGAGCTAATGCAGGCATCACACAGCAAGACCCAGGGACCACATGTGCTCTCCTCCCTGGAATAAAGTAAGCAGGCTCAACCCTCATGACCATTGGCTAACATTGATCACCCCTCAAGGTCCCACCTCTACCAGACACCGTAGTTAATACTGCACAGTGCGGATTAAATCTCAATACATGAAGCATTCAGAGACACATCATGGCAACCTGGCTGTATTTAACATTTGTTTGAATGAAATAAGGCTTTTGTAGACACCTAGGTGAGGGAGTTCTGCCTCTTGGTCCACCCAGCTCCCCGCCCATGCCTGTGTCTTTGTATTTGAGTAATAATGCTTCCAGAAGCCGAAGAATCTTACCTCCTTGGGAATCCCTGTCGGCAGTGACTCTTGATTGCTGTGCCAGTCTCTACTGTGGAAGGTGGCTCAGGTCTGCAGTCAAACACTCAAAACTGAAAGGATTCCCTGGACATTTCCAGTGAATACTAGAGCTTTTTTTTAGTCATATGAAACAAAGTATTTCAGAACACATTCCTCTTCCACAATTCTCCAGGTTCCCACCCTGCTAGACAGTTAGGCTTTTTACTCAGGTTTTCAGGAATTACAGACCTATTTTTCATAACCAGATTAAGTCTCAAACAAGTCATTTTTTGAGGCTTATGTCAGGATCTCATGAGACTCTGAATACAATATGGAAAATTTACTCAGCTGTCTGCTGGTCCCTGCTTCCTCAGAAAAAGAAAATCAGTTTGTTTTTTCTTTGAAAAAAAATTCGGTAATCTTATTAACCCCCCCCCCAGATTTGCTATGCTGGCTTACCCCTGTTTATTTAGGAAACACCCCTTTTGAAAAGAGTTACTTATTGACTTTTCAGGCTCTAGGCAGAAAATGAGATTTCTGTCTTACACAGGTTGTTTCTGGCAGAACCACGAGTGTGCAGAGTGAAGCAGTCATCACAGAGCCTCATGGATGTTTCCGTTCTGTTTGCCTAATGCAAGGGAAACCTCGTTGTCATCCCTGTCCCTATTTTGTGTCAGTTGGCCATCACATTTTCTCCTCCTTTTTTCCTTAGTGGTACGGAGATGGGACCCAAAGCCTTTACACTAAACTATACCCCAGCTCTTTTTTGGTATTTTGAATGAATCCATAATAAGATACCACTTTACACCTTTAGGACAATGGTGGCAAATCTTTGGCATACGTTATGAAGTCAGCTGTTTCTTATCATTGAATGCTCTGAAAGGTTCATATCACTGCACTAGGATCAAAAAGATGAAAGTACAAGTGTTAGCAAGAGCATGGGAAAAGTGAATCCTTCACACATTGTTGATAGGAACATAAAATAATACAGGCAGCTACTTTGGTAACCTTTGCAAAAAGCAGTTAACATATGACCCAGAAATTCCACTCCTAGATATAAATACAGGAAAAATAAAAACATAACTCTAGCTAGGTATGGTAGTCGATGCCTACAGTCCCAGCCCTCAGATTGCTAAAGCAGGAGGATTGCCACAAATTTGAGGCTAATCTGGAATACATAGCAAAACCCTGTCTCAAAACACACAACAAACTTAATAGTCTCATTATCCATAATAGCCCATAGGTGGAAATGCCCCAAATATCTATCATCTATTGAACAGATAAATAACATGTGGCATATCTACATTATAGAGTATTATTCTGCAATAAAAAGGAATGAAGTATTGAAACATGATACAGCATATATGAACCTTGAAAACCTTTTGTGAAGTGAAAGCCAGATATAAAAGACCACATATTGTATGATTGTATTTATATAAAATACATATAAATAAGTAAATCCATAGACAAAACGGTGGATGTCAAGGAATGAGAGATGCAGAATGACTGCTAATGAACACGGGGATGCCTTTAAGGGTAATGAGCATATTCTGTAATTGGTGATGACCTTACAATCTCATAATTACACTAAAACCCACACATTCTACACTTCAAAAGAGTAGGTTTTATGGTATGTGAATCATACAGTTTTTTAAAACTCACCATTAGGAATGTCATTGGAATGGTTCTAAATCAAAGACTATGATAACAAGTATTGGGGAGGGTCTGGAATTGTAACTTGCATGCATTGTCAGTGGCATTGTAAGATGGTACAGACACTTAGGAACAGTTTGATAATTCCTCAAATGTTTAACTTCAACATTACCATATAATGGTAATGCTGACCAATTCCATTCCAGTGTATTTACCCAAAAGAAATGAAAACATGGACACAAAGATGAGAGAGAAAAGGTCACAGCAGCTTCATTTGTAATGACCCAACAATGGAAACTGAAATACTAAGCAGCAAAATGAATAAAAAGAAACTACTGGTTTCATGAATGAGCCTCAAAAAACCAAGCCTCCATGTTGTTTGATTCTTTTTCTGTGAAGTTCTTAGAGAAGACTTAGTGAAACTTCCGTTGCCGAGTTGGGGTTATGAGTGACAGTTGACAACAAATGATAATGATATGGTGGTAGAAAATAGTCTAAAACTGGATTGTAGTGGGTGATTGCATAGTTGTTTACAAAGACTCGTTGAGTTGTACATTAAAACGGATGGGTTTTATGTATGGGGATTACACCTCAAAACTCAGCAGTCTCGGGGCTGGGTATTTAGCTCAGCGGCATAAGCGCCTGCCTTGCAAGCAGACAGTCGTGAGTTTGATCCCCGGTACTGATAAAAACGCAAAAGACCAAAAAAAAAAAAAAAAAAAAAAAAAAAAAAAAAAAACTCAGCAGTCTCAGACTCTGCATATATCTGAATCAAAACAACTCTCTCCACTTTAGACTCGTTCTCCCACTGATGTGAGCTTTAATTTTGATGCCAACAAACAGCAGAGACAGCTCATTGCAGAACTGGAAAACAAGAACAGGTAAGAATGCAGAAGTCAAGCCCTTTTTTCAAGAATTATCGTATCTGGTTCGTGTTTTCCTTGCAGCTAGATGGCTTTTGACTGCACAGGAAGATCCCACAAGTCCAGGAGGTGCACTGCATTCTAACTAACTGGTGCACCATATGCATGCTGCTGATTCTGGTTATCCAAAGTGCTGCTCTTCTGCCGTTGGTAGATTCTTTTTCCCAGCCCCAGTCCCACTAGTGTGTGCCCTCTCAGGGTTCCTTCTCCACTACTTCTAACAGTGTTTTATCCTGGGTAGTCATCTTGTCCTTGCTATCCTCCTCTATATGAATGGCCTCTCATAAAAATTCACTTACGGGCGTGGAAACTTTGTGTAACATGCAGGAGGAAAAATGGCCCCTGGCCTTCTGGCAGTTGTCAGAGGTCAGGGAAGCTGGCTGGGACAGGGAAAGTCACAGAAAGCTGGCTTTGGACCTGCATTAGAGGTTACAAGTTCTCTTTTCCTTCCCCCCAGAGAGGAACAGGGTAAGTAAAGCATTCAGGTTGTCATTTTCCTTTCCTGGAGATTTTCAAGTTCTTGAGAACTTTTTAAGTTTTGTACCAGAAAGGATTGTTTTTTGAGGAAATATTGGGTGAGGTGCTATTTAGAAAGTGTCTACTCCACATCTTGATCCTTTGGAAACAATCAGTAAGATTTGTACAGGAGGCACTGCAAGGCTAAAAACTTGTAACAGAAGAGCGGGAGCTGGGAAGTGTGGGCAACCATCTTTCTTTCATTGCTCACTAGAGAGATTCTGCAGGAGATCCAGCGCCTCCGCCTGGAGCATGAGCAGGCCTCCCAGCCCACTCCCGAGAAGGCCCAGCAGAACCCCACGTTGCTGGCAGAGCTTCGGTTGCTGAGGTAAGCAGCTCTACTACACCTCTATAATTTACAGTGGGAATTTATAGTTCAGAGAGCCAAACCTGTCAGACAGAATCTGCTTGTCTATAACCAGTACTCTTACAACAGCCTGCTGAGTTCTGTCATCAGTCACTTTGAGAACTTAAGCTTTTGTACAGAACTAGGTAAATACAGGTCTCCCTCAAATCCCGGGGCAGGTGGGCAGTGTTTGTACTCCTGTCATTGGCTTAAGAACATCATGTTGCAGTTCCTGTTCTATTGTAAATACAGAGTCCGACCCCACGCACTCTTGTCAGGAGTAATACTTTCCTTTCCCTGTGAGTGTGTTCTCCTGGTACTTCACAGTCAGATCAGGACTCTGTGAAGAAGCATGCTTTCTGTGCACACCTGTGAATCACACCACAAGTGTGCTACTTTCCCACTCCCATACGAATATAATGTCTCCGGGGACAGCTAGGTATGATAGACACATCCGTCATCCCAGCACTCAAGAGGCTGAGGTAGAAAGGATCACCAACGTAGGGCACATAGTGAGTTCGAATCCTGCCTGAACTATGTAGACCCTGCCTCCAACAACTAAGGATAGGCTCACCACAGGAATGGAGTGACGTTATCTCCCAGTTTGATGCTGTGTAAAAGGGAATGAAGACATCTTCCCAGAAGAGCATGCCACGAATGATTTGGTCTGTTTTTAGGGCCTTATTTCTTGTGTACCGTAGACAGTTGTATATATAATCTTCTATAAATAAAGACATTGTAAAAAGCAGAACCCTGGATTCCCAAGTGATATGTTCCTTAGATTGTGGTATTTGACATTCCACAGTTGATTTTTTTTTTTTAAATCAGGAATCAAACTCAGGACTTCCCACTTGCCAAGCAAGTGCTGTGCTGCTGAGCTATATCCCTGGCTCCATGGTCGATTTTTAATGAGCTGTCCTCTGGGATTCTGTATAAATAAATACTTTCTTCTGTCCCCTCCTTTGGCTTAGGTCATTTGGTCTCTCAATCATGATTTGTTTCCCTAGAGCAGTGATGGCAAACCTTCTAGAATTTTCAATGATAACAAACAGCTACCTGCAACATGTATGCCATGGATTCACCACCACTGTCCTAGAGAATGGAGATTATTGTATTTTGCCTTAGTATCTTAGTACTTGGATTTATATCATCAATAAGTGAGGCAAAGAATTTAGACTATGCAGGTGAAGATAACTAAAGATACAGAGTTTCTCCTCCTAAAAATTCATTTTAGTTCCTAAATATAGTTGAACTGAAATTTTGGCTGCTCATTTGGCACACATTTGGGATGTTGGTGTGCTTGGTGTTACACTAAGAAGGGTAGAGAAACACAAGGTACATGTTTTCTTTCCTTAGCTCAGGCACACATGAGTGTTTCTATGTCTAAAAAAGCAAAACCTGTCATCCAGGACTCTTAACTGTTAACTGGAATTGGGGTTGCCACAGGTGCCCAGTTAAGCTAGAAAGATCTGTAAAATTGCATAGATTTAGTAGGGACAGGGCTGAGTACAGGGATGTCACATAAGGCAACAAAAAATAGAAATTTAACTTGAGCCGAAGGGGTACCTAAAGCTTTAGAAGTCAGAAGCAGCTAATTTCAGAAGCAGTTTCTATATTCCAAGAAAAAGGGAGACATTCAGTAAATTTGCCGGAACAATTGTCTGCGCATACAGGCCAATGGCCTGGCCTGCCTCACACAGAATCCAGCACCAGACCCTGAAAACATGAAGATAGAAGTTTCACATTTCTAAAAGAAAATGTAGAATCACTTTGCAATTTGGGAATAGCAAATAATTTCTCATAATTTACTGCAATTGGTAAATTCCTCTATATTAATATTAACTTTTAGGAGGGCGCAGGGGAAAAGTGAATGAAAAAAGGGAAGTGGGGTATGTTATACACATGCACCACTCCACACACAGAGTGCAAACATTATGTACTGAAGATTGTACTAATCAATCAAAATAAGTTTTTAAAAATATTAACATCTATGTATCAAAAGACACAAAGGGCAGAATTCATCTCTAGTTATTCAACAACCTTCTAAATCATACAGATGGTATAGACATATACACTTATAAACTTATTTGTCTTATGATTTGAGGGAAGATGGCTGCATTTGGTTGTGTAGGGGAGATGGCCATGATCACATTTGTAACCTGATACAGAATTTGCCAGTGGAAGCAAAATTTTTGCCAAATACTTCTTTGCAAAGCAAATTGTAAACAGAAGCATATATGAACTGAGGTATTTCTGTAATCCAGCAAATGCCAGAACTTACCTAGCATAATACACCAAAATTTCATTTCTGATGAGCGTTTCCTCTTGGACAGGCAGAGGAAAGATGAGCTGGAACAAAGGATGTCTGCCCTGCAGGAGAGCAGGCGGGAGCTGATGGTCCAGCTGGAGGGGCTGATGAAGCTGCTGAAGGTAAGAGCCGGGGCCTCTCTGGCTTCCTCTTCCCACCGGGGTCTCCGCCTGACAGTGTCTACCACTGCCTGGGCATATCATATTTTCAGGGAAACTTCCATAAATGTGGCCTGATGAGGTATAAAAGTTATTGAAATTAATGTAAAGCCTGATTATGAAAAATTAGTAAATGGAAATAGGATAATGTTCTTGAGTAGTTGTTTTTATAAATAAGTAAGGATGCTTATAGGTAGGTTATTAACTATGCATAAAGGCACAAATGTTTCCCAACTACTCAAAGTTTACATTTTCAGATATTCCCTCCACATACTTCACAAACATCAAATGCCCTGTTTTAATAGGTATAGAGAGGCATTCTAATATAATCACACCTTTGTGACTATATTAGTCACATAAATGTGTGACTATATTAGAATGTTTACAGGGATACAGAATCAATACTATATATGTAGATGTAGACAAGAGAAATGAAAAGTTGGCTCATTTGATTAATGGCGGCAGAGAAGTCCCACAGTGCACTGTCTGCTACCTGGAGACCCAGGAAACCCTGGTGTATAATCCAACACAGACTGAAGACCTGCAAATCAGAGAGCTGCCAATCTAGCCTGTAATGCAGAGAGTGGATGTAGGGAGTCACTGTAGTAAGGTCTGGAAGAAGGCTGGAGCTTCAGTGTCTAAGGCAGGCAGGGACAAATGTCGTGCTCCATGAAACAGAATGTTGACCTTCCCTGTGCCTTTTTGTTCTGTCCAGTTCCTCATATTGTGTAATGCCTGCCTACATTAATGAAAATGGATTGTCTTTTCTTGGTTACTGATTATATCCCTGTGTCTGCTGGAAATACCCTTACCAACATCTAGAGATAATGCTGTACCATTTATTGGATATCTCAACCCATTCAGGTTGACACATAAAAACCACCACACAAACCAATTCTAAATAATAACCTTATTAGAAATAAAATAGCTTATTAGCTGTATGTTTAGCATATTGGGACTCGAATAAATCCAAGATAATTCAGGTTTTTCTATGTATGTTAAAGGGCATATTACAGTCCCTTATCCTAGAGTGAGGAGAGGCATGGTTGGCTTTGAAATGTCCTCACCTTGGGGGCTGGGGATTTAGCTAAGCGGCATAAGCGCCTGCCTTGGAAGCAGGCAGTCGTGAGTTCAATCCCCGGTACCGATAAAAAAGGAAAAAGACCAAAAAAAAAAAAAAGAAAGAAAGAAAGAAAGAAATGTCCTCACCTACACAATTTATTGGCATTAAATAGAAATTTTTCCTAGTTATAGGGTGCAGAACACCTGGTGCCATGCTGTGAGTTTCCAAGGACCTACCTACCTGTCAGTGCTGTGAACATATTACATTTTGTAGCAAGACACTGACTTAGCAGCCAGAGCAAAAATTCACCTGTGGAAGGCCTCAAAAAACCAGACCAAAGAGAATGAACTGAATGCTGTGATAAAGTGGTTATCGAAGGTGTTAAAATACAAGGTTAGAAGCTGGGCGTTGTGGTGCATGCCTGTCATCTCAGCACTTGGGAGACTGAGGCAGGAGGATCATCATGAGTTCAAGGACAGCATGAGCTATAAATGAGACTCTGTCTCAACAACAACAGCAAATAAGTTTGGGAGGACACTTGCTATGAGTTAAAAAGGGGAGACACAAAAGTTTAACACAAGATTTGTGCAGTCACCAGACTTAGGGTGACAAGGATCTAACTAGGAGTGGGAATCCAAGAAATAGCATCATGGAGACTTTTTTCAGCTTCTGCATTTTAAAGCAGTCCCTTGGTAATGGAGCTGGTGGGTTCTGGCAAGTTGGACAAATGTTGTATTTATGCTTTTAACTGACTTTTGAGTTCCTCAAAACAATTGTGTCTTTTAGATTTGAGCTGAGTTTTTGTTTTTGTTTCCCTAGCTTGGTCCTGGGTATTAAAAGTTGTTTTGCATGGACTTTTTCTACCCTAACCCTGTTAGCAGGATTTCCCTGCAGAATGAGCCTGGTTGAAAAAAAACCTTATCAAATAATGCCTGGTCCATATCCCTCTAGCAGGCTAGGCTACTCAGTCACCCATGCAGAACAGCCACGGTGCACGTTAATGGATCTGGCCTGTGTAATTTTTAGACCGTGTGGGGCACTGGAACCCCTCTGAGCGAGTGGGTATACCTGAGGGATGGGGGTAATAAGGGACCCCTCACCCTCCCTTTTCAACTTTACTGTCAGAAAGATGTTCTCAGAATAACCCACACATAGACAGAAAGGTGTCCCACTATGATTTTATTTCACCTTTTAGATAAAATTCTGAAACTGAAAGGGAGGCAGAATGTATTTCACCTAATTAACATGGTATACTTTCCTTCTGTTGAATTGTCCTTCGACTTCCTTAGAACTGCTGTTCTGAGCCCTGGGCATAATCACTGCCACCTTGACGTGGTCCACTGACATCTGCATTCGAGAGCTAAGCAGAATGAGTTAGTAGCTTGAACACTGACCCCAAACCCTAACTTTCTTTGTATTTTTAGCTCTTGTATAATTTCAGTAAAACCAGCAAGATCCTGCCAACCAATTTTGTAGGAGCCCTACCAGATTATTAAATGCCTTCTCATTTATCCAGACTGAGACCATAAGACTGGGAGGAGAAATTTGCAAACACAAACCTAGAAATGCTGTCTTTTTAACCTACCAAATTGAATTCACAGTTGAAGATATGATATATATAGTGTCCAGATTCCTAAAAGTATTACAACACAATAATAATTTGTGTATTGCATGCATTCCTAAAGGGTCATACATAAAAATCAGTGACTTCTATTAAAATCTCAAAGCCATTTTTCTAATATTAAAAAAAATTCCAGAGCCGGATGTGGTGCCTCACACCTGTAATCCCAGCACTCAGGAGGCTGAGGTGGGAGGATGGTTGCGAGTTTGAGACCAGCCTGGGCTACAAAATGAGCTAAAGGCCAGTCTGAACTGCATAACGAGACCCCGTCTCAAAAAAGACAAAAAAAAAAAAAATTCCAGGCTGGGGATATAACTCAGCAGCACAGCACCAACCTGGCAAATGCAAGGTCATAAGTTTGATTCCTGGTACAAAAAAAAAAAAGAAAATCACCAATCCATAATGAAAGTATCCTTTAGAATCCTAATTTTAATTTCAAAGGACTTTCTTTCTTTCACTGATGTTCCGTCTGTTACCATTTAATTTGTTCATAAAGCAGCTGTAAGCAGTTTGTCAAATGGACAATCAAGCCACATGGTCTGGGAGGTTCATAAATTAAAACACACCAACAGTACCTTTCCATTTCACAGGGAGTGCTTTCATTCCACCACTTCAGTAAAATACTGTGCACTCTATCTTTGTACCTAAAAACCAATAATTTAAGTATATTAAAGTGGGACCATTGTGTAGTAATTCATTCAACAGAGGTCTCTTGTTTTTGGAAAAAGGCCAAAAAACTAATTGAATGTTTATATAACAAAAATGTGTTGTGTTCCTAAGTGTTGTGTTAGGTATTTGGTGAACAGTGGTGAGTGGACTCAATTTCTATGACCAGGAAGTATCAGAGACTTTCTTCTCATTTATTTTTTCTCTTTTAGTGATACAATATAGACTGATACTCCAGTATGCAGATATATGTACATATCTTTTGTTTTTCCCCTGATTAATGAGTTTAAAGATAACCTCTGGCTCACATTTACTTGATACAGAATAATTACGTGTTGGTATTTTGGTTTCTACCTCATACTCCCAATGTTTTCCTACTTCATTTTTAATGTTTCTGATACTGTTTTTAAAATATTTACCAGCTGATTTCTGCAGTTTTAGATTTCAACCTCATTTGCAAATATGTATCCAGTTAAAATATAAATTTTTGCATAGATGACTCCAGCAGCTATGACATTAGCTGGCCAGACTGCCTCCATTTGGGAGAGACTGTTTTCAGGTCACAGAAGCACATGTAGGTTTGCACTTTATCATGAAAGTGATTCCCTTAAATCAAGCTGGCACTGCTCCTCGTCATCAGAGTTTATAGAACCCAGCTGATTAACTGATAACAGAAAGGTTTAAGACCTTATTTCTGACCTCAGTAATATGTTTTGTTTGTTTGTTTGTTATGTTTTGTTTTTGGTACCAGGAATCACTCAGGACCTTGTGCTTGCCAGGCATGCTCTGTGAGCTGAGCTATATCCCCAGCTCACCTGTTTAGTGTGTTGACAGAGCTTTAAAGGCCTTATCTGAATAACTTTGTGAGTTTAAGTTATACAACACCATCCTAGGTAATACTTTTCAAAGTCCACCCTCTCCCACCACCATTGATGGGGGGGCCTCTGAGTCCTGAGAATGCTGCCCTGTCCACCATCCCATCTTGACCTGATAAGTATGTGTACTGCAGATAATAATGATTTCATGTCTTTGAACAAACTTACATAACAGAATCACAGAATGTGAGAACAGAAACATTACTTTCTCAGATTTCTCTGTTCTATAAACCAAGCCATACCAGAGTGGAAGGAACAGTGAGAACAGGGAGGCAGCTTGAAAAGAGTCCTGGGAAAGGACATATATACTGGTCTTTGACCTCAGATAGGACTTCAGCCTGTGAAGATTGCCCCATCCCTTCAACTCGATTTCCATTTCAACACCTAGTGCCAGCAATAAAATTATATTTTTAAATTGCTTAATCATGTTCTATGGCTGTTTGCCTTGCCTATTGAATGTAAGCAGTGTCCTGCTCTAGAGAAAAGTCTGGCTGGGAAGGGAGAGCATTTTTCCCCCTGCAAAACTGTCCCCTCCTGACCCAAGGCCAGCCGTGCTGGCCAGTGCAGAGACAGAAAGCCTGTCCTCCGTCAGGCTGAGCTGGTGCTTAGAGCCCTTTGCCATGGGGCCTGGAGGTTAGGTTTGGTCAGGCTGCCGGCAGCTAGCTTTCATTGTGAAAAGCACTTTTCTGGGAAGAGCCTGAGTCTTCCTGTGGAATTTCTTGTGTCCATTTAATTTCTAGTCCATGTCTCTTCTAACAGGAATGAAAATTGTTTTCTCCAAGTTTTTGTTACTGTCTCCCTTTTGCAGTTCCTTTGCTTGACTGAAATTACTCTGCCTAACACCAAGACCCACAGACTCTGAGAGAGCAGGAGCACATACCCTTCCTAAGACACCCTGTTCCCGCGGTCAGTGACGACGGCCTGCACACATGGGTGTGGTCCAAGTAGAACCACTGCGATCATTTTATGACTTGCACACTAAAGAGCAGAAGCTTCATGCCCAGTTACCCATGAGGAGGCACAGAAACAGGAACCAAAGAGATTCATTAAGAGACAGAGTGGCTAAGAAGCAAAGGGTGAGAGAGAAACTCAAAAGTCTGTATTTCCTCTTTTGGTTCTTCTTTCTACAGTGTCTACTGGTACATGTATCTAGTCAGTCAACTGTAGTTAGCAAGTGCCTGCTGTGTGTACCTATCACCAGAAAGTTCTGAAAGAGAACTTAGCTTTGTTTCAGTGTTATGCATAAGAATTATTGAATAAATCTGTGGCAAATTAATGAAAAACTGAGGTCAAGAATTCTTTTGGGGAGCTGGGGATGTAGCTCAGCAGCACAGCACCTGCCTGGCAACTGCTAGTTGAGATATTTTTGTTGTTGTTCTGGGAACCAAACTCATGAACTCATGCTTGCCAGGCAGGCTCTGTGCCGCTGAGCTATATCTCCAGCCCTTAGTTGAAAATTTAGAGCAATCGGTCTCAAACTGGGGCTGAGGGAACTGGAAACACATGGCTATTTCTCATTCTGGAGCCTCCAGTCAGCCAGTCTGGGGTGGGGCCCAACATTTGCATTTTTTAATGAATGCCCAAGCGATACAGATGTAGATCTGTGTTCCACATCTTGAGAATCACTGGCCTAGCACCTGTCTCTCCACACACAGGGGTATTGTGCCTGAGGAAGTAGCCAAAGTTGAACTTCCTCTTTGAGTTTACCTTAAATAGTTTCTGCCCTTAGATAAACCAGGCTCTCAAAACTCATTTGTAAGCAAAGAAGTTTTCGATGCTTTCTAAGGTTGTGTTTTGTTTAGTTTTGTTCCTTTTTCTTTCAACTCTAGAAGTCAGTATGTTGAGTTACCTGACGGGGGCAGAGGCCTGCCATTTTGCTCCTCTGGTGGACAGGGCCTTGGAGCTGAGGACACAGGAGCCTGGCCCACTTCGCCTCATTTGTCCTATCATTTCTTCCCAATGTTGCGGTAAAGGGCATTAATTTCTCTCCTTTTCTCCTCTGCCTTTTTCCATCTTCAACACTTCTAGGAAGAAGAACAAAAGCAGGCAGTAAGTGGACTTCAGAATTCTGCACTGGGCCTTGCTTCTTTTGCATGCTCATCTGTTTCCCATGTGAATGTTAACAGTTCTGCCGCTCTCTTCCCTGCACCCCATCAGCACTGAGGAACTGGTTGTGTGTAAAACCCTCAAGAGATCCCTCCATGATCCTGTCTACCTAGTGCAGCATGTTTTCACTTGAAACCAGAGCTGATTGAATTTTTTTTATGCACACAGCTGTTGTGCTTATTTAAATATGCATGATTAGCCAGGCCACCATTGCATTTTCTGCTCTTTTATTTTCTGTTGCTTTGTGTCTGCAGTGACTTGGAATTGGCTTAAAACAACTTTCAGGGTGGTGGGGTGACGACCTCAGGGCTAAGTGTTGTCATGAATAAATGGGCATAAAAGGAGTGGTTCTTCAGATAACCTTACGTACCCTGCCATCTCAGACAGGCCTCAGAACTCTCTGGCTTTCCCAGCCTTCTTAATAAAACTACGATGACAGCTAAAAGACTGACTACACCTAAAGTGGTTAACTGCTGCGGCTGCTCCAACGGGAGCTCAGGATTTTCTGAACTGCATGGCTGTTATTGCATGATGTTTAGGGAAGGCTGGTGTGTGGTTTTATTTTTTTGCTACCCATTAGTCCACCAAAGGAAATAAATTGAGAACGTATCCACAATAGCAATTTCATTTGTTTAAGTAACATAGTAGTTTTGAAAGCATGTGTTTTTATATAAGCTAAAGGTGAATTTTTGTTGCTCTCAGATAAACCAAAATTCAAGAGAAAAAATGTTTAATTCAAAAAAATTACCATTTTCAGCCATGCATTGTGGCACATGCCTGTAATTCCAGCATTTAGGAGGCTGAGGCAGAAAGATCACTGTGAGTTCAAGGCCAGCCTGAACTGCATAGTGAAGCCCTGTCTCAAAAAGATCAAAAGCAAACAAAAATTAACATTTTAAATGAAAACACAAATACATCCATGTTTTACATTGAAAATAAGAATACACAACATGATACTTGTGACTTGAAGTTAGGATAGCAGTGGAATCATAGAATCCAGGGAGAAGAAAGGAAAGGAAAGAGAGAAGTATTACGAGGAAGCACCAGGAAAAGGAATAAGGAGAGGCTGCTGGAGGGTCAGGGAAGAGACGGGGCGGAACATCAGGGTCAAGAGAAATCTCAATGGCTTTAAGGTAACAACAGTTGGTTTTGTTTTGATCATGTTTGGTTTGATTTGTCTCCTTGATTCATGTAAAGTTTCTCTCTTTGATCTTCTGCCACTTCTGCATGACTAGGTAGATTTACCTGGGTAATGCAGAAAACAGCAGGATGAAAAATCGAGCCTGACCTTTAAATACTTCTTCGAGGAAATCAATCACCCATGTCACTTCGACTCCATTTCAGTGGCCATGGCACATTACATGATCATACTTAATTTCAAGGGGATGGGGAAGTGTAATCCTGCAGTTTGCTTAGAAGTAGCAGAAAAGCAAATGTTGGTAATGCCTCACGAGTAGGAGAATGAGCAGCTGGATTGGAGGGAAAGGAAAGTTATCCATCCTGCTCCCTTGCTCACCCACTTCCCTGGCAGTCTCATCCCCTCAGCGCAGTCTGCCTCCCGAAGAGTCAGGGCCACCACACACGTACTCACTGACCACCAGTGCTTCCCCCTTCTCGTCCTCCATGGATCACACAAAAGCACTTTACAGCTAAAACCACTTCCTGGGAATTTATTTCCAATAATCTCCCAGGCTGCCATCTCCCTCTAATGCCTCCCTCAGGTGTCAGAGTGACACCGTTTGGAAACACCCTCCACCCACTGCCTGGAACCTCCCCTGCAGAAGAGGTGATGGGATGGTTGTGGATTATAATGGCAGCAGAAGAGCTTCCAGTAGCTGCTTCATTTTTTCAGACTTTATGGAAAACATGTGACCTAAGAATGGGAATGCTACTATTCATCATGAGTATTGTACTGTTCGACTGAGGCTCTATGGTTTGGGGTGTTGTTGTTGTTGTTGCAGGTCAATTTAAAACCAACCTTGAGGCTGGCATGGTAGTGCACACCGCAGTCCCAGAACTCAGGATGTGGAGGCAGGGAGATCACTCAGTGTGAGATCAGCCTGAACTACATAGCAAACCCTGCCTCCAAAGAATAAATATTCTCATTCTGTGTGAGGTCATCATCCCCTTGAAGTTGCCAAAATGAGAAATCTCAGAGGATTCATGTGCTCAGAGCCCTGGCCATGGAGAGTTTAAAAGATCCACACACACAAGCAGCTCTGAGTCTTGTGGGAATGCCTGTTGTATTAGTGAGTACTGATCATTTTGGTCTCTGCTTTCCCCATCAGGGTAGGAGATGAGAAAGTTCACAGTATATAGTGATTACATTGCTCATGGGGAGTTGCTGCTTTTTGAATATATCTTAATTCTTAGTTTCATTCCCTCCTCCTCTCCTGTCTCTGCCCTCTTCTGTTTCTTGGTTCCCTTCCCATTCGCAAAAGTTCTCTCTCTCTACTTCCTCTTATCTTTTATTTTGCTCTATATTTATATCCTGGGTTTTTCATATAAAAGAAACTATGCAGGATTTAAAGTTGCATATCTGATTTATTTCACTTAACATTTTAGTCTTAAGGTACATCCAAGGTTATACTTCACTATGGCTGAGTAGTACTTCACTGTATATTTTTATCTGTTCATCCATTAATGGGCATATACTGTGCTTCCAAGATTTAGCTGTTATGAATTGTGCTGCTAGCTGGAGATGGTGGTGCAGGCCTATAATTCCAGCACTTGGGAGGCTGAGGCAGGAGAATTGCCATGGATTTGAGACCAGCCTGGGATACATAGTGAATTTAAGTCCAGGACTACAAAACAAGACCCTGCCTAAAAAAAAAGAATTGTGCTACTATGAGTATGAGTATGTATGCAAAACTGTAATATGCTGTCTTTAACTCTTTCAGAAGGACACCTAAAGAAGGCATAGCTGGGTCAAATTTCTGGTTTCCAGAAACTCCATATTGATTTTCATAATGATTGTACTTGTTTGTGCTTCTGCTAACAATGTAAAAAGATTCCTTTCCCCCCACACAGCCCCACTAGCATTTGTTATTGGTTGATTTCTTGATAGTAGCATTCATTCTGGAGTAAAATAGAATCTCAGTGTTGTTTAATTTCCATTTTTCTAATGGCCAGAGATGTTAAACATTTTTTATGTCATTTATTGTCCATTCATTTGTACTTCTGAGAATGTCTGTTCATTTCAGTTGCCTGTTTTTTTCTGTTGAGTCTTTGGACTCAATAGTCCAAAGTTTAATTCTTTAGATTATTTTAATGTTCTAGATATTAGTCCTCGTCTAGGATGTGGCTTCTTTGTCAAAGATCACTTAGGTAATTGTGCTTGAAGTTGTTTCAGCATCCTCTATACTGTTCCATGGATTCATGTGGGGTTTTTTGTCAGCAGCATGCTGTTTTTGTTTTTTTGTTTGTTTGTTTGTTGGTTTGTTTTTGGTACCGGGGATCGAACTCACAACCATGAGCTTGGAAGGCAGGTGCTTATGCCACTGAGCCAAATCCCCAGCCCCCAGCATACTGTTTTTATCACAGTGGTTTTGTAGTATAAAGTCTGGATGGATGCCTTCTGCGTGTGTGTGTGTGTGTGTGTGTGTGTGTGTGTGTGTGTGTGTGTTTGAGACAGGGTCGACAGTTCAGACTGTCCTTGAACTCACTTTGTAGCCCAAGCTGGTCTCAAACTTGCAATGATCCTCCTGCCTTAGTCTCCCAAGTGCTGGGATTACAGGAGTGCATCAGCACACCCCGCTTCTTGCTTTACTCTTGTCAGCCAGAATTGCTTATTCCATGTGAAATTTAGGGTTGTTTTTGGTTCTGTGAAGGTTAGATTGCATTAAATCTGTATCAGTTTTTGAAGTATGGTGATTCTTACTTTATTGGTTCTATCTTTTCAGGAACAAAAGTATCTTTTGGATGTTTTCTAAGAGTACTGTAGATTCCACTGTACAGGTCTCACTTCCTTAGTTACATTAATTCCTAAATGTTTAATTTGGTACTACTGTGAATGATAGTTTTTCCTAATTTTCTTAGTGGGTTCATTATTAGTGTACAAGAATAGTTTTGACTTTTGTATGTTGACTTTTGTATCCTGCTACATTGCCAAATTTGGTTAACCGTAGGAGTCTTTTGGTATTTTTGAGATCTTACATGCAAAGAATCACATCATCTGCAAACAATGATAATTTAGTGTCTTTCTTTCCTATACATATTCTTTTTTTTTTTTAACTTTTTCTCCTGCCTGATTGCTCTGGCTACTGTTTTGAATGTGTCGAATGTCACATAGATATGGTAGTGGACATCCTTGTCTTATTCCTGCCTTTCAAGAGAAAACTTGCAATTTTTCCTCATTTAATATGATGTGAGCTGTTAGTTTGTCATAAGTGGCTTCTATTAGTTTGAGGTAACATCCTTTATACCTATTTTCTTCAGGATTTGTATCATGAATGGATGTTAGATTTTTTCAAAGGCTTTTTTTTTTTTGCTTCGTTTAGATGATCATGTGATTTTTGTCAGGTTTCTGTTTATGTGACTGTTATATGTAAGGATTTGCATATGTTGAACCATCCCTGCATCCCTGGGATGAATCCTACTTAATGATGACGTGTGATCTGTTTGATGATTTATTGTACTTTGTTTGCCAGTATCTTGATACAAGATTTTTGTACCTGTGTTCATTAAAGAGACTGGCATATAGTTCTCTTTTTTTGGTTGGGTGCTTTTCCTGTTTTGGAGTCAGAGTATTGCCAGCTTCCAAGAATGACTTTGGGAGTACTCCTCCTCTTTCAATTTCATTAAAGAACTTGAGGAATGTTGGTGCTGGTGTCCCAGAAGTTTTTGTAGCCATGAATTTATTGGGTAGTAGGCTACTTGCACATGACAATTTTTGTTGTTTGTTTGGTTTTGTTTCTGCTTCAGTTTCATGGCCTGTTATTAGA